TCCAAGCCTCAAACCACAACAAAAAGTAATGAACATAAACCTGGTCCAAATTGCTACTGATAAAGTTTTTCACTGGTAAGATCTCCTCTGAGTTCACAGGAACTTGTTTCAAGGCTGAGTGTCAAAATTCAATGACTATTTTGTTTCTTGCAAGATCAGTACAAGATTGCATCTTAATTAGCTAGTGCTTCCACTTTAAAGCACTTGGATGAGCTTGAATTGATCAGGCCTGTATTGAATTACAGATAACCTCAGTAAAGATGGCCCTGTGATTTCTTTGTCCTTGTCAAGCAATAGCATTCCCCAGTAGCTTCAGATCAAGATATACTCAGATTTTTAATCCCTTCCAAGATAGATTACAGCGGCAACTCTTCAAAATATATTCCATCAGTGTACTAATACAAAAAAACTTAACACAGCCTTAAGAAAAAAGTCAGAAGAAAGTTTTTCTTTATTTCTTATACTGGTTAAAATATGTTTTTGCACCAGCTTTTTAAAAGGAGTTATGAAGTACACCTCTAAACGCTATCAGGTACAGATCTATTTGGATCTAGCGTGACAGCTTTCAAAAGGAAAGAAAACAATCCCTTATGCAATGCAGTAAGGTCTCATTAAAGTTCCTCTGCACATCCCACAAAGATACCACAAGACAGAACTCCTGCCACTGCTACCCTCAGTCCTCCTCAGGTAAGTTTCTAGGTTGATCTCTGAAAGAAGACAGTATTAAATGACAGATTACTTTCCTATATAGTAAAGAAAGACAACAGCCAAAAGGTCTTCAGTCGCTCAAATAAATAGCATTCAGAGAGGTGGGTGGTGACCTGTATAACTAACTTGTGCTTTGGAGAGTATTCAAGATGTTGGACATAAACCAGTATTTTGAAAGATTGTTTTCCCCATAAAATCTGTATCAAAACTCAAATTATCTACAACATTTATCCCCACAACTGAATTTTAAGATCAGCAGCAAATTCCAATTTAAAGCTACTTTTCTCTGAAATTTTCAATATGGATCTCAAATTTAAAATCTTTAAGTTCCATGTTGACTTTTTTAATACAGATTTATCTCCCATATTGAAGCAGCCATGTCTGTAGTCTGTACTAAACTGTTACATAGCCTATATTGAAGAACGCTCAAAACAAAAACTAGAAAACAAGTTTTGTCACCAACCTGCACATCCCACATACAAGCACTGCTACCAGTGGAGACATACAACTGCCAGGTCTTCAAGCAGCCTCCATAACATTGTAATAACCTAGAGACATAGTGGGGCTTCTTCCCTCCTCCCGTAAGGGACCATTCACAACCACGTTCTCAAGAAAGGCAGGAATAAGAGAGAACAGGAAGTCACCCAACTGACTCAGCACTATGTGTAACCTTCCACTACCCAGCTACTGTAAACTCAGGGAAGAACAGGCTAATCCAACCACAAATGAAGATTAAACTAGAGTTACCAGATGTGTGCATCCCATTCTCAAATGAGAATAAGTCCTCAGCAGTAATTTTGTATTTTTGAGTTTGAAATTTAAATCAACCTTAAAAGTATCAGGGACAACAGTATTCATAATGAAGGGCTGCCTCAGTCTTAATACTTCTAAAATTATTCAAAATAATAGCAATGATAATGTTAAAATCATCCTGAACTTTTTGCCAGCTAATGCAACAGTAGTATATATTTTTCTCATTTATTAGAAAACAAATTTTGGGTTTACATAATTAAGAATTACTGTTATTTTCTGGGACAACTGTGCCAGTTGTGTAATGCAAGTCTAGTGCTCAAGACTTAACCCTATACTAAAAATATAAACAATTCTCTCAGCATACAAAGTAGTTTGGGCACACAGAGAAGTGATTCTGCTGAAATACAATTTCCTTCATAAACTGCAGTTGAATGTGTTTGTTTTATAGGGAGTTCTAAAATGATCTGGAGTTGAAAAGCATTAAACTTGTTTTTTCCCCCCTTTCTGGGCTATGAGCAAAGAAAATTCCAGGAGATGAAATCAGCTAACTCCTAAAACCTTGAAGAAAAGAGGTAGGAGAATATCTCACTGCAGATAGTTCCTGTATTAAGTACTTTTAACATCTGCTTGTTATTCAATCCGATTACTTAAACCAATTTTCATTAAACCAATTAGAAAATGCTGCCTTTAGTAAAATTATTCTTGTGATTTAAAAGGGAGATCTGGTTAAACTCATGATGTGCCAATCTAGCTCAGTATGCTTTAGTGAACAACCCTAACAGACAATTATTACACTGCATACTGTCCAGGGCATTACATTTTGCACAATATTTTTCATACTCAAGAGCTAGTTTTATATTCATTATACAAACCAAATTTTAATTAACGTTATTTTTCTACCAGAAAAACAAACATTTCTGCTTGTTTTTTGAATAGTCTAATGCTTTCTTTCTTTCCAGGAGGATAAACTTAAAAACTGAGCTACTTAACTAAATATAGCTCGAATCAAGAGTATCATCTTTCATGACCTTATCAATATCTCTGTTTTAGAAATCATTAGAAACAACTTGATGAACACATATCATCAAACAAATGCAGTTCCTTCAAAATATCATTTTCACAACACTCTGGAAGAAACGTGAAGTTCAAGGAAAATTCTCATGCAATCATTAGCATCTACATGTGGTGATATAAATTGTGTCATCTAAGAGTATGGAGGAAAACAGGTGAAAAAAAGACTACCCTTTGGTTCTTATCATCAAGGTGCTCTGAATAGTATGTCAGTTATTTACCCAATGCAGATGGAGTGACACACAGGATACTGGGACTGCTTTACAGAGAAGTAAACTATGTTTTTCTACAAAGGGATTCCTCAACCACTAAGTATAAAAATTCCTTTGAGAAATTAAACATCTAAGTAGCAAGCACCTAAAGCAAGGGTTTGAAAACAGCTATAAATGAACAGCCTTGCAAGAGTACTAGTAAGCTAGTATGTTTCAAAACATGTAATAATAAAACTCAAGAAAAACTTAGGAAAAAACTGCCTGGTCACAGTGAAAACAATGAATTTGAGAATTCAATTATTTTCATTTATCTTATCAAGGTGGATAAAACTGAACTCCAAATGAATCTCCAAATATCATTTTGAAATTACATTAATACAACATACTACATTAATATGACCAGATTTTCAGATTACTACACTCTTAAATAACATAACAGAAATAAAAACAAAGTTTACCAAAATCAGTTGAAAAACGAAACTTTCAACATCTAATAAACAATATACTAAAAAAGAAATTAATAGAAATCATAAGATGAGATGTGCATCAGTGGCTAAATTAATCCAGTGGAAGAAAAAAGGAGAGAAGGAAAGAGGCAGGCTTAACTTAAGAAGGGATAGGGACATCAACCAAACTTACTTCCTGTTCATGAGATGTCTGATTAATGAATGCATGCTTTGTGAAATTCATCTCTTTAACGTCTATCTTCCTAACAACATCATATACTTTTCTGACCTTGAACACCTGACTTCTTGGAGTTTTATTTCCATTGTAGCCCATGTCATTTCCATTACTGGGAGAGGATGGGCCAATGCGAAAGACATGGCAAAATATCCTCACGATCCTTAAGAGACTCTTCATTTGAGCTTCATAATTACTTGACAAGCTGGGGGAAAAAATGGAATATTTAAGTTTCTTTTCCTAGATGAAAAAATTTAGTATATTAAGGAGTAAGCAATTTAATGGTAGGATCTGACACATGCTGAAAAAAACCCTAGGCTTTAAACCCTAGTGAATTTTAACTTCCATTTCCTGCACCAGCCCCAAAAGTCAAATAAGCACTACAGTTTTATTAATATGTACTCATAATTTTAGCTAGAATTGAAATAAGAACAGCAAATTCCAGATCTTGCAACACACTTCATTTGGTTTTATGCACATGTACACTTCCTGTGAATCACTGGTAAGTAGTTCCACTTATTACAAGGATCTCAACATATGATATAAACTGGGATATCCAGATGAAAATGTTTTTCAGTCCAGAAAAGACAGCATCCAATGGTAAAAGCATACTGACTAAACAGATATGCTGCCACAGCCCATCCTCACACCTAGCTATTATTCCTAAATTCCAATTAACTACCTCAATCAGACAAGGCATCAGGATGGTAAAGATGCCACTACTTCTACTCAACAGAAACATCACCTTAAAGATACTACACAAAAGCACCACTACGTTATTTATCCAACTTATTAATCCAATATTAAAGGTTTCATATCTTCTTAACTGAACTGGCCAACACTGAACTCTGTACCAATACAGAATGAGCATAGAATGAGATACTCATGAGTTCATGCACAAGCAGAACATTCTCCACCAAATTCAACTTGGTTTTCTTTCCTCAAAACCCGAATTGGGCAATAAGAATTCTTCTGTCTTTTACAAATTTAGAAAGTTTTTGTAGTGAATTCTACTTTTAAATATTATACAAATGAGCACATACCAAATTCTATCCTTAAAGTACTTGCAACTTTTTTATAAGACCAGCATACACCAGAAAACTCGCATCTTAGAAGATGCTGTAAAATTCTGAGACAATTAATAATCTGTTAATTCACAAATCTGAAACATAGCTAGGTGTAACATCTTAGTACCTTTATCATGACCTCACTCCCCCTGTGGCATGGGTTAAAGCAAAACACCTATTTGTTTTCAGCACCACATCTTAACAACTTCATTTTAAAAAGCCACATACTAAGAATTTCACCAAACTAATACACAAAGTAAGACCTGCCTGTCACAACCTAGACTTTAACCAGAGAAGTTTTCCATAAATTGAGATAGGAGAGGAACACAGAGTATGCAGTGCAACAGTAGGAATGTTAAATTCTTAACCAAGTAAAGAAAATCCCCTGGCTAGCAGGCTGCAATCATATTAGTGGAAGCTCTGGGTACAGCCACAAATTAGCATTTGAAAAAAGCCTTCTTAGCTTATATACCAAAAGAACCTATGAATTTAAGAATCTAACTCAAAAAGCCAATTTAAGTACTGGGGGGGGGAAAAAAAAAAACAAAAAAAAAAAAAACACATACAAACATTTCAATTGAAGTTTATCATCCCTCAGCAGCATTTTCCTGGTAAAATTTCAGTTTAAAGCTCCTGGTGTCCACAAAAAGGACCCACATATATAGGAAAACCTTAAAGTTACTAGCATGTTTGTAAGCATTCACCCAGGCTCAATCTGCACCAGCAAGATCAACTCATGTCACACTCCAGTTATGTCTCAGCAGAGGAAATACACGATGAAGGTAACGCCGACTGATCAGGCTCTGGGCCTACTCAGGCAGAAGCCTGGGGGCACTCCTGGCTACCTGCTAGAAGCATTACAAAACACAACTTTAGACATTTTTGTACTAAGCAACAAACTCAACAGCAGTGGGTTGTGGGTTAGCACCCAGGAGACTGTGATGATACCAGCCCAGCCATGTTGCAAGTTTTCATGTACCAAGTGCATTTTACATACTATTGCTCAAGGGAGGAAGGAGAAGAAAGAGGTCCAAGCTCAGAGGGTCTATATTCACCAAGTACTACCATCATGCCAATAATAAAGCAACTGATAAATACTTAGTTGAAGAAGAGATAGAGACCTCTGACAGGAAGCAAGTGGAGAGAGCAGAGACACAGTTTCTGTAAAACTGTATCTTGTAATAATAAATCAATTCCATTCCCCTTATAACATATTACAAAAGTACCACAGAGAACTGGGCCAGCATGAGTCCACAGGACATACTAAGTACAGGCATCTCTGGAAATGCCTGCTCATCCAGTGCAATGAAAATCACCCAACTTGTCTTCAGCCTCTGCTAGTCAACCCACCTGCAGCAGTACAGGAGTATATAGAGTAATATACTGGCTCAAATTCAGAGACACAACAGGCATGCAGATACCATTTCTACAGCCATACTGAGGGAGCACTGCTCAATACAGAGGAGAAAAAAACAGTAATAAATCAAATCTAAACATACAATCAGTTTAGTTTATCTCTGCAGATACTGAAATAGAAATAAATGCTGCTTCATATGACCTAATTCAGCTACTTGAGTTTCTGATAAGGTCCCCATACAAAACAAGTTTGAAACCCTATCCTTCAGAATGATTTTATACTTTATCACAGTACATTTGTGGAAGATCTACTGGCTCTAATGAAGCCTGGAGACAAAAGAAACATGCTACAGGTTAAGCTGAATACACACAAAAGCCAAACAACAGCATAAGTTCTTCAAAAAGTTATCTTCATAGCAACAAAATGTCATTAATATGTCTATGCACTTGAACTCCAAACAATGAGAGTGTTGAACCACTGGAACAGGTTGCCCAGAGAGGTGGTGGATGCTCCACCCCTGGAAACATTCAAAGTCATGTTGGACAGGTCTCTGAGCAGCCTGGTTTAGTTAAAGATGTCCCTGCTTACTGCAGAGGGGCCGGAACTAGATGACTCTTAAAGGTCCCTTCCAACCCAAACTATTGTATGATTTGAGAGTTTGAAATCTTTCACACTTGTTCATCAAGGCAAACAACCATCAGAATAAGAGTGTGATTACTGGTGTCATGAATTTCCTAGCATTGGCTAGGAGTTCTGACCTGCTATCTACAAGCTTTATCCAAATTTAATGTGACTGATGAGGAAGCAAAAAAAGGCACCTAGAACTAAGAGTTTATTCTTTAACTGATGGGTTCCTTGCACCCAGCCCCAGCTGAAAAGCAGCATTCAAAACATTATTCCTGTACAACCTAGAGGCTGACAGGCCTCTCTGGTTTCTCTTAAACCTCTTTTCCAAAATGCCATCTAGAATACATTAGTAAGGAAATTCCACTCATGCTTGCAGGCTCTTAGCCTGTTTCAGGAAAGATCTTCCTAGCTTCCAGTAAAGCATAAAGGTTTGAACAAATTCTGCTAGCTTTTGAAAAAAGTAATGTTACTGGTGTTCCAATAGATTACAGATGAGGCGTTTTGCACAAACTTCCTCAAACTAATGCCACAACTAGGAAAGCGTATCAGGAAAATATGCTTGCCTGTTCTATATGTTTCCTCAAGTAACTGCTTCTTGCACTGCTGGGACAGCAGACTGGTAGATTAAATTTTTGGTGTTATATATATTAGTCGCCATGCAAAGAAATCAGAGACAGCAAACATGAGATAAGTGTCTGAAGTAAGAAAATTCTCCTCAAACATGCTAAGGAACCATGTAGAAAAGTAAAGATAGAGAAGAGAAAAAGGAGAGGGGAATAAATGAGAATGCTTAGAATGCTTAATAGTTGGCTAAAAGGCTTCCCTTCCAAGAGCTGACATAGCCAAACTAACCAAACAAAAAATACACTTCTCTGCCACTCAGACTTTTAGGCACCAACAGCAATACAAGGACACCAACTTTCTCTCCTGAAGTCCTCGTGAAGACTGTGATCTAAATGGGCATTGTCATACAGAAACAGATTCGAGACCCACCTACTCCAGCAGGTGCCCAGGGTCAGATAATTTAGATTACTGAAACCACTAAGCAGCGCTAACTACCAGGTAGCTTATCATTTTCTCACACTTACCTAAGCAGTTTGTGACCATTTGTTGTAGCAACTTCAGCAAGGCTTGTTAGGATTTTAAGATACTGGCTTTCACTCTGCTGAGACAGATGTTCCAGAACTTGCCGCAACTGATACAGTAAAACAAAAGAAATTGCAGTGTCATGGAGCATCAAGATCAACAATTTAGAACATTATCACCCAAGCATCAATATCTAGCAATAGTAATATACATCTACATTGTCCAATGTCTAATCTAAGCTCAGTTAATGTTTCATTACCATTTACAAAGATTACTGAAAAGGTGCACGTTACAGTGTCAATTTGCATACTACAGGATATACAGTATTATAGAATGCTTAGCCATGTTTTAATTTCTAAAAATAAATCACTTTCATCTGAAAAATTAGTGGGATACACTTTCAATGTCTGAAAGCTAAGAGCATATTTTGAGTTTTGTAATTCATAGTTTATCTGCCCAGTTCACTCCTCAGTTTATGACAGTGTAAATGAATCCTGGATTCTAGAGTTTTCTCACTACCTTCATTTTTGCTCAAGACACCAAATGTCCTTCTTTGGATAAGAATTCATACCCCGATAATTAAAACTTGTGATGATTGCCCTCTTCTCAAAATTGTCCTTTTTCTTGCTAGTACCACCACTTGGCTTGCAAAGATTGTGTTGCAAGTGTCCAGACACTGCCCTGTCTTCAGTTCCTTTGTTTTGCACTTTTCTATGGCCTAGGCTATTTTTCTTTCAGATAAACCAGCTCTTCAGTAGCACTACTCTTCATATATTCCTATTATATCCTCATTTACACTCCCCTCCTCTCTCACACCCAGGAAGTTTAGTAACCCTTCTTACCTCCTCCTGTAGAAGGGTGGAATGAAAAGGAATCTCATGAAGGTCATCTAGCCCAACAGTCTGCCCCAAGGCAGGAGCACTCCTATCTGCAATCCTAACTGGCTTATCCATTTTTGCCTGGCTGGTTTTAGGATGTCTTTTACTCTGGAAGCCCTGTAGTTTCACAACTAATCTCTTTAACACTTAATTGTCCTTGACTATATGAAAAGTTTTGCTCAAGCCTCAGTGGAATCTCTAGCTACAAATGGCTAAGGCAGTATCTTTCTCCCTGCAGTCCATCAATAAGTTTTTCCATTTTGTCAAGAACATTTAAAATGCGAATCCTGACTTCTCACATCCAGTCTCTTCACTTCACTTTCAGATACTAAGAATTGGTCATTATCCAGGACTCAGGACAGAACAGCTCAAAGAAACTTGGCCAAAGAAAGCCACATTTAAAAGATGCTTTCATTTTAGCAGTGAAGCATAACTATACCATGTATTATCTAATATATTTTGCATACCCTCTCATTCAGGTCTTGTTTTTACACATGGGACCATTACTCAGACAGATGAAATTTGGTTTTCCTTGTATTTTGTCTTCACTTCTACACTCTGCCAATTATCTTTCTGTAGAAAGTATTTTTGTTCCACAGTTGTAATTCTTTAACTTTCCCTTTTATCTGAAATCATTTACATTGTCCACCCCCATGCTTCTTCACTTTGAGAATTCTCACCTGTCATTTTACTTTGTAAAACCCAAGCCTACCTCAGAAACTTATATACTAGAAACTATACAGACTTATAACTACTCAGTCTTGTAGCAGAAGTAATGAGATTACAGAGAACAATAAAAACTTCAAAAATCTAGCAAACCAAGTTCAGTGAAGTGGCAGCCAATACTTTAATAGATTATTTTTTTTTTTTTTACAGTCTGTAAATTTGTGTGCAGTGATTTTCAGGCAAACAATATATTAAAACGCCACAGCTATCTAGATTTGGAAGGGGAAAAAAGCACCCTACACTTCCTTCCCCCTACACAATCAAGAAA